GCTCAACAACGGGAGTTTTCGCCGTTTTCACGGTCTGAAAGTGAAAATTTTGCGCAAAAAACGCGTTTCTTGCGTTTTTTTAATGAGCGTTACTGACTCACAATCGTGGTTCCCTTTTGAGCGTTTAAACGCGTTTTTCCAAATGTTTGTCTGCTTGGGGTCGCGGTTATGTTAAAAGTCGGCGATTAGTTTGAATTAAAACGAATTTAGAAATGCTTTTTGAAGTCTTAGAAGTAAGTAACGGTCTTCTGTCTGGATATCACATTTTATATCACATGATCTAACGGACAAGGAGTGCCGTTGCTGCGGATTCCGTAGATTTTTTGGGACAGTTTTATCTGGCCTTAAATACATTGCAATAGACGATTTCGGTCTGGAATTTGTTTTATTCGGATATCTCTTTCTTTATTCCAGTCTAGGATTCACAGAAAATTCTGTAATCTGGAATAACTGAAAATCCGTTCTTTATGGTCTATTGTAGTGTTGATAATACTAGAAACGGATTGGTTTCTCGTGTGGTAAATTTTCTCTAAATGAAGCCGTCTAAAGTCTCAAACTTTACCAATTTAAATGGAAAAGTGCGGAGAAGTTACATAAAGTTTTCGCAAGAAAGGAGCTTCACCTGAGGGAGAGAGATACACATATATTTTAGGAGGGAAGACAGAACAGAAAGGAGGAAAGCGGAAAACAACTCTTTATAGTTGGCGGAATAGAACACAAAAACTGTGAATTCTAAAGCATCAGTTTTACTTTTGGACGAAGCTAACCAGAAGTGAACTTGCATTTGATTAACCACAATCGGTACACGTCTACTTATGAATTGCGTGTCGAAAATAAAATTGTATCATTAATTAAAACATAAACATTAAAGGAAAATAATGGTAGCCAAAGAAAAAATATAACCAAAGGAAGTATCGTAAAATCGAAAGTCGATGCAAAAATTAGTCTGCGACATCTGTCATAGTCTCTTCCATAGCAATTTTGGCAATTTTTACAAGTAGTTTTGTCACTTCCAGTGACCGGTTTTGATGGCTGTCCGGCGGCATTGCCATCATATCTTTAAATTGTTGCACAGCTATACGAATACGCGCTTGTGCCAATTCTGATAACTCTTTTTTCTTTTGTCCAGTGCTGACTGATGATGATTGTATTTGTGGCTTAAGATCATTCATAGTCAGAGAAGGAGCTGTAGTCGACTTATATTCAAAGCTAAAATGTTCAGTACTTCTCCAGTTTTCAGATGTATTCTGCTCTACTCTGTTAACTAACGGCATAGTCCGCAGGATAACTGACAATTTCTCTATACTCTGTTTTACCTGCTGAATTGTCTCAGCCGAAATTTGCCCATCAGGAAATTGTGCCATTATCTGACTCTTCAACATTTCGTTATAAACAGCGTTTAGCGGTTGAATTAGAATGTCAAATTCAACTAATCGTTTCAAAATGGTAACTAATACGCTTGATGTAGAACTAAAACTTTCTAAATGTTGTATAGCCTGTTTTAGTTGAGTAATAACTGTTGATGTATGACTTTGTTGCTGTTGTAATTCATTTCGAGTGGATTGCAACACATGTAGACGAGCTTTTAATCCATTTAAGTATGTATCAAAATTTGTTTTTCTTACTCTTAAATCATGCAGTTGTTGACGAAAGTGACCAGCTGTTCGCTCAGCAAGTGAAAGTGCATTACCAGCATCAGATCGTCTATCTTTGGCACCGTTAATTCCACCATTATTAAATATGCGACAAAGTGGTCTTTCAATGACCTTTCTCCAGATTATTTTTAATTCCCCAAGAAAACGTTTACTAAGGCAATGCCGCGCGTCCCGAACATCTTTTTCAGCTTGCCTCCAGTTTGCAGCCGCTACGTTAACATCATGCTCTTTCTTTCGAACATCATTCTCAGCTTGAGATAACTGAACTCCAGTCGAATGAATACCAGCATTAGTTGTGTGGATATTTGATTCAAGTTGACGTATCTCACCTTCTTTCACACTCATGGCTGATACTGTTTGCACTTGTATTTGTTCAATTTTCTGATTAATGTTTAAACTAGCCTCGACTGCTTTGCCGAGATTATCGTGAACATCCTTTGCTGCGCAATGAATATGTTTCGCAAGTTGAATTACGGCTGCTTCATCGTCCTTGAGTTTCTCTACGTCTGCAAGAATTAAGGGATTTAAAATTTGTTGTTGTATGACGACATATGCGTGTTTATACGGCGGAACAACTTCCGTTGACATATGATTCTCATACCATTTTGTCGTATCCTGGAAATGTACTCCATTGAAGTAGAGTAGAAGATATGTTATAACGTAAGGAACCTTCATTTTACTGGGTTTTTAAAATAAAATTGTGCAGCTTTTTTTCGGTTAGTGAAGACCGAATTATATTAGGTTATAAATATATTTCCACACAAAGCTTTTTCCTCTCTAATTTATTGAAAAATCAACTCTTGCTTTTTCCATTAGTTTCTCAATTAACAATGATGCACAAAACATCTCCACTCATCTAATAAATACAACAGATATTTGTTATCATATTACTCAGTCAAGGATACATAAGTACAGATTACAGAAGAAAAACATGAACAACAGACAAAGATTGGAGCGACTAATAGAATATTTGAAATTGATTGCCAATCTTGATGGTTTGTCTCACGCGGCATCGATCATGGGATCATTGACTATCGAAACAAATGGTAGATACGAACAAGTTTGCTAAACGAAGTTTAGACTACTGGTAATACATTCGGTTCCTTTTTTATATCGTTCATAAATTACTGTTATGAAAGGTACGAAAGGAGCAATGAATGAGCCAAAATTGATAAAAAATATGAAATGTTTCGTAGTACCTCAGTTAGCCAGTGATAGCTTTTAGCACGTACACTTTCGCACTTACGTAAGTTTCGTAATGCATGGTGAAACTGATCTTCGACTAATCATCTGACCCTTTCACTAAAACAGAAAACCTATGCAAAATCTCTGAATGGTCTTTGCATTTTCAATAGAAATTGAAGTCAAATAGGTTTAATATTGTGATAAAACTCGAATATTCATGCATACTTAAACTAGTGCGAGAATTATTTGAAGTTATACCCATTCATTGAATTCTTGTACAATATTTTTACTGATAAAATAAAAGTACAACCTAATAAATCTGCTTTTTGTGTTATACAGGGTGATCCAAAAAAAACTTACCCCGTGTGTATTTATTGACTTTCTTGTGTACAAATATAATTGAACTTTTTATCATTAGTTTATTCAAATAGAGCAAAGATTTCTGGACAAAATGAGACGTCTCCGAGCTCTCTAAGAACTTTTTTCAGGAAACAGCATTGAATTTACGGAAGGTCCCAAGAGCACATTTTTCTTGTTTGCCCATTAATTGTCCCGATTTTGGTGGTATGGGACCTTCCGTAAATTGAATGCTGTTTCATGAAAAAAGTTCTTAGAGAGCTCGTAGACGTCTCATTTTGTCCAAAAATCTTTGCTCTATTTGAATAAACTAATGATAAAAAGTTCAATTATATTTGTACACAAGAAAGTCAATGAATACACAGGGGGTAAGTTTTTTTTGGATCAACCTGTACTACTCCAGACAGAAAAACAATGTATGTATGGTTTTTCTTCTGTGATCTGTACTAATGTATCGTTGACTGAGTAATATGAAAACAAATATCTGTTGTATCTATTAAATAAGTAGAGATGTTTTGTGTGTCATTGTGAATTAGGAGAAAACTAATGAGAAAAGCAAGAGTTGATTTTTCAATAAATTAGAGAGGAAAAAGCTTTGTGTGGAAATATATTTATGACCTAATATAATTCGGTCTTCACTGGAGGAAAAGCTGTAGAGTTTGAAGATACGGTTATATTACATCGTAAATATATTTTCATCCAGTCAAGTCAAGCTGGAGAAACAAAAACGGAGGTACTTATATTGAAATCGAATATCTGCTGTAGAAGGCACTGTTTATTACCATAAACATTCACTTCTGATACGCGACTCTCTCTGTTCAACAAAATTGATTATACAGGTCGATCTTTTAACTTTTTACATAGTAGAATTTAGTTTTAATTTGACAAAACGAGCGTATTTTGTGCAATTTCTCTCGCTCTTTTGACTGGTATGCAGAATTTTAACTAGGTAGGTTCAGTCAGAGACAGCGTCTCTCGACATCGCAACTTGTGCGGAGTGCAATTGCATTCTAGTTTTAGTTTCTTCTTTCGTCCGTTTTTTGGCAGAATGTGCACGTCATGATCTCGCTCTTTGACTCAACTACAGAATTTTAAACCGAAGAGCGGAGAAGAAGGAATCAAAATACAAATCAATCATTACTTTCTATTTTTATGTCGACAGATATTGAGAAGTTTGTGAAGCTAAAACTACAGTAACTTTATGTGCATAAGATGATGGTTGCTGATAACTTCTTCAAAATTCATTATACATATGATCTTGATCATGATTATCTAATGATGACAATTGTGTTTCAATTTGATTCATTTTATTTAATACTAATGCTAATTGACCTTTAATTAGTTCCATATCAGTGTCTTTTATAGTTTTTGCTGTATTTTTATCTAATATTTTACAGAATGCTATTTGGCAGTACTCATTTTTACACAAATTACAAAATAATTCTGTTAAAAAAATTTGTTCTAAATCTAACATTATTCGATTAGGAAATGTAATATTTAATGAACATTTGACATGAAAAAATTTCCTCAAAATTTTTTTTCCGACTCAACTACAGAATTTTAAACCGAAGAGCAGTAAAGAAGGAATCGAAATACAAAACGATCATTATTTTCTATTTTTATGTCGACAGATATTATGTATTATTGCAGGGATTTTAGTTTTTGTTTAGTAATATTTTTTACGAAATGTGCACGACGTGATCTAACGAACTACACTACGTAGAAAAAGTCTGAAAACGGGAGGATAATCGCTCGACATGGGAGATTGATTAATGCACGTGCTTTTTTCAAAACTATGTCTAGATTCGGCGCCATAAGCTATACAAGTAGAACTAAAATGTTTTTTTGGGCTTAGAAACTTTTCGTATATTTATAAGAGTTGATTTTCCGACGTCATTTATTTTTAAGGCGAAATATAATTATTTAACGGCTTGTCTGACTAACGGTCCCCTTTTTTCACTCATTTTCAAAGAATCGTTGCAATAAAGCTAGGAACCCATTTCAAATTCGAAATAGATGATATAGTAGAATAAATATTTCTCTACAAAATGAGAAATGTCTCGACTCTGAAAGCTGATTAGTTATGAAAATACAGTTATTTTATAAGGAGCCCAAAAAGTCGATTTTGGGGCTATTTGAAAAAGGGTTTTGAAAGGGGGAAGACGATTGAGCAAATATTCTTAAAGCATACCACTTTGTAGAGAATTGTTTGCTCCACAAGATATGAGAGTTTTTAAAGTTGTAAACTGTCTTAATTAATCTTCATTAATAAAAGAAAAACAAAG